TTCATAACCATTTTCTGCTGCTTTTTGATACCAATGAAAGGCTTTTTCTAAATCTTTTTCTGTCCCTTCTCCATTTTTATAACATTTGGCTAAATTAGTCATTGCTTTAATATGATCTTTCTCTGCTGCTTTTTGATACCAATGAAAGGCTTTTTCTAAATTCTTTTCTATTCCTTCTCCATCTTTATAACATATGGCTAAATTAAACATTCCTATTTCATCATTATTTTCTGCTAATTTTTCTAAAGAATTAATACATTCTTCACACCATAATTCTTTAGTAAAAGGTTTATTGCAATATGAACAATTTTTTGTTCCTTTTGTATTGATATCTTTATCTGAGATATTTGGTTTACTAAGTTCGGTTTCCATTGGTTATTTTAGAAATTTATTTTATTGGAAAAAAAAAATTTTTTATTAATTTTTTTTTTAGGCGAACTTTTTATAAGTAATATTTTTTTTTTTTGTAACATTAAAAGGGAATATTCTAACCTGAAATTTTTTCGGTCACATTTTTCCGTTGCATTGATCTGCATTAGGTGAAGTTACTAATGATAGGAAATTCTCGTATCAATAAATAAATTACCATAATAAATGAAAAAAAAAATGTTAATGTATTAAGTATACTTTAAAAGGAATATTCTAACCAATAAAGGCTAAAATATTTTCGGGTCACATTTTTCCGATGCATTAGTGAAGTTTCTAATGATAGGAAATTCCGTATCAATAAATAAATGGTCCATTATTACCATAATAGGTGTAAGATTAAATACAAAAATTACGATAAAAATATATAGGTAGTGCTTTATTTTAAAAAAGTATATTTTAACCAATAAAGGTTAAAATTTTTTCGGGGCACATTTTCCCGAAGTTTTTAATGATAGGAAATTCCCGTATCAATAAATAAATGGTCCATTATTACTATAACAGTGTGGTAGTGTATGACCCAGCAAAATTTTGGAAATCGGTAGAAGTCGATCATCGGAAATGACTTAAATGACTTGATCATTTGACCATTTTTCGAATTAGGGTTAAATGATTTCATTCCGTAAATAACCAAATGCTAAATGATTGGGTATCATTTTTGCATTCTTTGTCATTTGGTCATTTGTTATTAGAATACAGAAAGATCATTGGACAATTTAATTACATTATCACGTGATGTACAAAACTAAAGATATGTGTATATAAATTATAATCACCGCACCAAATTAAGAACGGCTAGTTCAGCTCTCTTCCATTCCTCCTATTTAGGTGGCCACCCCTTGTTCCGAAAGGCCAATCGGGTGTTGGTTATCAGTTTTACATAGACTATTTTCGGCTTTACATATGTAAAGTTTGTATTCTTTACTGTAACCGGATTCATTTTGTGAATTAAAAATAAAAATAAAAATAAAAACCACACCAAATTATTTCTTTGTTTTTTAAAGAAAAAAATGGCCTCCTCTTCAGATTTACCTTCCAAATGCACATGAAGAAAGGGTCCAAAAGGTTCTTCCTACAAAAAAGGAACAAAAAAGAACGTTAATAACGTTATAACAAAATATTAAAGAAAAAAACCCTCCTCAAATTTACCTTCAAATGCTCATTAAGAAGGGTCGTAGATCATCCTACAAAAAAGAAACAAAAAGAAATTTAGTTGTAACCTCCTTAAACAAAACTACTAAGGAATACCTTCAAACGTTGTTCTGAAAGGTCCAACAGTCCAAAAAGTTAATTTTTACTACACAAAGAAATAAAAAAAGTACGTTAATAACGTTCTTAAATCAAATTACTAAAGAAAACACACTCTATTGAATTTACCTTCAACGTCCTGTTTCGGAAGGTTTAAATATTTAAAGTTATTTCTACAAAAAAAAAACCGAAAAGAACATATTAAATAAAGATAAATAAAATAAATAAATAAATAAATAATAGTCTTACCTTTTTCCGCAAGAACCGAAAATCTATCGTTAAGATAGTATAAGAAGGATACATTTGCAAATCTGCACTACTTATTTTGAATGTTACTGGACGTTATACCCATTACGAACATTACATCACTTATAACTAGTTGAAAAATTATGGCAATAACTTACAACTTTATCGACATACGGTTACAACCTTCAACTTATTGCAACTATTACGGCGACCGACCCTAATCTACAGTACATAAATTTTTAATTAATATTTGCAAATCTATTGAAATACAATAAAAAAAATATGTTTCATTTAACCAATTTTTCTTTCAGTATGAAATTTTCAAAAAAATAAAATATTTAACTGAACCGTTCATATTGTACTGTTATCCTAAACATTTATTATAAAAATTGTCATCGTGCTAAAAGTTTTTTAAAAAAAAAAGATTGGAAAAAGGAAAAGTTTTGCATTTATCTTTTTAATTACTTTATAACAATACTAAATTCATATTTAACTTATAGGAGGAATTGAATACAATAGATTTAAAAAAACTTCTTTAAAGCTTAGTCATCAATTATGTTAAATTTATCGACCTTCACGTTATATAGAATTTTATTTATTGAAAATGTTAAACACTACATGGCTGTCACTAATTAAAAAACAATGTAAAGTGTTAAACTGCTTAAATTTTTCGAATAGATCATACTTTTATAATACATCAATTTTTGGTTATTTTTGGAATTAAATTATGATGGTCAAAATCTTTTATAAAATTATGATTTAATTTTATAAAAGTTTTTAAACTGAATACATAATACTTATTATATTTAGTTAAACTTTTTATTTATTTTATTAATTTGTTAATTTTGTCATTTCATCTTACCCCCTATTACGGAGAATTTAAATAAAAAACTGGAATTTTCCATTGAATAAATTTAATTGCCAATCAGAATTATTGCGTTTTTGCTTATAATTCCAAATCCATTAATATTTTTTTTTAAGTATATTAGGAGTTACATAACAACAATCAATTGTTTTATCAGAATTAAGAATTATTTATAACTAACTACATACACTAATAAAGGGAAAAACATTCATCGAGATTTTCATAATAAGAGTATATTAAATTGTTCTAGTTACGATCCAATATAAAAATTTCAACTATCATCACGAAAAATTACAAGCAAATTCTTATTTAAGAAAATAATAGCATTACTGTATCTTATAGCGATCTGCAAAGAAAAAATTGGTTGGTGTTTTTTTTATAATAGAAGTGAAGATCTTCCTCCAACTTTCTCTTGTGATGTTCAATAAAATCCATTTTGAGAACGGTTACTTGATATTAAGTTTTTACAGGAGATATATTATAAAGAAAACTTTTCATTTATATATAACAAATAATTTGTATGCCATTTAATATTACAAATTTTCGTACAGTACAAATACTACAGTACATGTCGTTTTTTTATAAATTACAAAATAGAGTTGCGGCAGTTGCTGCGGTTGCTGTTGTGGGTTACAAACCTTAAGAATTTTTTCTAGATCAACTTGATCCCGGATGAACATATTATTTTATAAAAATCGTACTTTTTATTTTTTTTTGCATTTTCATTGTAAAATTCTATTGTCTATATGGTAGTATTACTATTAGGCATCACAAACAGGGCGCAAGTCACATTTTATAAGAAATCACGAGATTTCCAAGATTAGTATATAATAAGCTGGTCACATGATACCGGCCGAAGGCGTAACTAAAATTTTTTGCACAACTGCACAATCACAAGCTTGGTGCTACATTGTACAAATCTAAATTAAATATAAATAATGGGTTTTAAATCCAATTTGGAAAACTAATTTCTGTTCAAAAAAAAAAAAAAAATGACGAGAGGATATTCATTAGAACAAGATTTAAGATTATTAATAAATAATTCAAAGTATAGTGACATAGAAATTTTATGTGCAGATGAAAAGAAATTATACGGTTGTAGAGCAATTTTAGCAGTAAGGTCCGAAGTATTTGATAGATTACTTTATAATGGAATGAAAGAAACTTATGAAAAACAAATTTCTCTTCCAAAGATTAATTCCACTGGAATGGAAATCGTATTAGAATATACATATACAGGATCAATTAAAGAAGAATCTTTAACAAAAGATAATATAGTTGAAGCTTTTTACGCTGTTGATTATTTTCAATTGTCCGACCTTAAGAATTTTATTACAAAAACGGTTAGGAATACTAATTTGGCAAAAAATTATTCACCGGAGTTACTATCAAAAGTTTCAGAAAAAATGCCATTAACAGAAGATAACGTTTTTCTTAACTTATTGGTTGAAGCATTAGCAATTATATCATTAAATAATATTGAATTTGGTCGATTGTCTATTCCGGGTCTTAAATATCTTTTATCTATTACACATAAAAAAAGAGTACCTTTTGCAACGCAAGAGTATGAAGTTTTTCGGTATAGTGCAATTCTATCAGCAAAACAAGTTTCTAATGATGCATATGTATCCCTTATGGAACGATTACCAACTTTAGAGCAAATAGAAAATTCATACCATGTGGAAAATAACTTGATTATAGACCATCAAAAAGTCGCTAATGAAATTAAACCTTTAGTTGATTATATTGATTTCAGGCGGATCAAAGGTCAGGTATTAGTTGATTTTATTGAACCACTAGGAATTATTCCAGAAAAAATAATTTTAAGTGTTTATCGAGAAATGGCAAAGTTAAATAATTCATACTTTAATGATACTCGAGGAATACCATTATTGATGCACGTTTGGGATGAGTCTGCATGTGGATCAAAACTTATTATTGAAGATGGCGGAAAAATTGTACGAGCACCAAATGAATATGGTCACCAAAATGTTAGAGCTAAAATAGAATTAGAAAATGATGGCATTTTTGAATGGGATGTTATTATTGAAAAAGTTTGTACATATGCTTGGGTTGGAGTTTGTGCATCAGAAAATTTAAATTACGAGACCTTTGCAGGATGGCAACCTACAGGATGGGTATTAGGTTCTAATGGTAATTGTTGTAATACCAATGTAGAGGAGTTTAATTATTGTCCATCATTTCATAATATGGATGGCACAATAGTTACGGTTCATTTAGATATGAATAAAAGAACTTGTGCTTTTACAGTCAATGGTACGAAGTATCGTGAGGTATCAGAATGGAAATTACCATTAAAACTTTATCCAGTAGTATCATTAAGTCATCTGGGACGTTTTCGAATTCAACCTCATCAAAAAAATCAGAATATTTAGTGCAAATATTATAACATGATGAATTTATTATTATATGTATATCATGTTATATCATGTTTATTGAATTTATCATATGTATAATAATTAAGTTGAAAATAAAATTTTGATTTTTAGCTTATTAATTTATTACTACATGTATAAAGAGAATGATATCGAATTTCATGGCAATGTAATTCTAATGAAACGTTTGATAAAGAACTTAAGCATTTAACGTTCATTACGATCATCATAACCACGGCATTCTAACGGTCTCAAAAAATATTATCCTTTGCATTTTATAAGAATTTCGTTAAGAGCAAAAGTATAATCTAGTCAATAATTCGAAATTTTAATTATCAGACTGAAATTAGTATTCCAGATAGTTTAACAAACACTTTTTATTATCCGACTGTAATAACTATGAAGATGCGTCTAGAGATCTGATAATTTCCGGGTATGAAATGGTTGCTAACTCTAGAACAAAGAGAATTTAATCAAAGTGGAAGATTTCAATCAAACTAAGAATGTTAGCTAATGATATAAACATTATCAATTAATTCAGATTTAAATGATATCCTAATAATACTAATAGACGTAAATACGAAGATATAGGGATTGGAATCGATTCGACTAAAATCGATTTAATCGAAAATTGAATCGTAATCGATTAATCAAATCTAAAAATCGAATCCCAATAAATCGAATTTTTTTATATTTTGGCGCAGCAAACATAATCTTGCTGTTTCTATAACCACGCCACAATGAAAAAAAATCTGAAAAAATTCAACAATTGTGATGGCTTTTTGACCAATAATAATTGGATATTGGACAATGAAACAATTGAGAATTTAATCAAACATTATCCAATCAAGTTAATTGTGGCTAATGTTTAATTAATTGAAAAAAAATTTTTTTTATTGATTGATAATTTCGAGTTCAGGGGCCTGTAATCATCTTTTGGCCAGAATTAAATATAATTCTATAATGCGGGCCAGAAATGTCTACTGCATATTTATACATATATTTTTTATTATAATGATAACAAATTTTGACTTTTTATACTCTAGCTAATAAATTTTCAGGGTTTTTATTCAGTGCAAAAATAAAATTATTTTACTTTTTAATCAAAAATTTTCAAATTTTACAATAAAGATTATTTTAGTATTTTAGTTAAAATTCACCTAAAATTTTGTGCCGCCGGGATCATCGAAAGCGTTGCATCGCGAAAATGTTTAAAAAATAATTTTTTTGTAAAATTACTTAGAAACGATTAATCGATTCTTAAATCGATTCTCGGGTTTCTATTTTCGATTGAATCGATTCCAATCCCTACGAAGATATACAATAATAAAAATATTTATCCAACTGTATCATTACAAGATCTTTTTGAAAAAAAAAATTTTCTTAAGATTTCAAAAATTTATCAAGTTATAAATTATAATTATTATCATTTTAAAAATTAAAATTTTTAACAACAATTTATCCTCTTAGATTATGCCACGTGATAACATTGTATTACATGGCACAAGATAGCCTCAATGAGTTAATTGGTGTAAACTTATGGTTTTGGCGTAAATCTCCTGTGTATCATTTCTAAAATTTCTTCTTTTTTTTTTTAAAAAAAAAAAATGACGAGAGGATATTCATTAGAACAAGATTTAAGATTATTAATAAATAATCCAAAGTATAGCGATGTAGAAATTATATGTGGAGACGATAGAAAATTATATGGTTGTAGAGCAATTTTAGCAGCAAGATCCGAAGAATTTGATAGATTACTTTATAATGGAACGAAAGAAACTCATGAAAATCCAATTTCTTTTCCAAAGATTAATTCCGATGGAATGGAAATCATATTAGAATATATTTATACAGGATCAGTTAAAGAAGAATCTTTAACAAAAGATAATACAGTTGAAGCTTTTTATGCTGCTGATTATTTTCAATTATCAGACCTTCAGAATTTTATAATTAGAACAGTTAGTAAGAGTACTAATTTAGTAAAAAATTATTCACCGGAATTGTTATCTAAAGTTTCGGAAAAAATGCCATTAACAAAAGATAACATTTTAATTAATCTATTGGTTGAAACAATATCAATTATTCCATTAAATAATATTGAAATTGGTCGATTGTCTATTACTGGTCTTAAATATCTTTTATCTATTACGCATAAAAAAAAAATACCCTTTGTAACCCGAGAGTATGAAGTTTTTCGGTATAGTGCAGTTCTAGCAGCAAAACAAGTTTCTAATGATGCATATGAATCTCTTATGGAACGGTTGCCAACTTTAGAGCAAATAGAAAATTATCATGTGGAAAATAAATTGATTACAGACCATCAAAAGGTTGCTAATGAAATAAAACCTTTGGTCGATTATATTGATTTCGGACGGATCAAAGGTCAGGTATTAGTTGATTTTATTGAACCATTAGGAATTATTCCAGATAAAATAATTTTAAGTGTTTATCGAGAAATGGCAAAGTTAAATAATTCATACTTAAATGATACTCGAGGAATACCATTAATGCTGTACGTTTGGGATGAGTCTGCATGTGGATCAAAACTTATTATTGAGGATGGCGGAAAAATTGTACAAGCACCAAATGGATGTGGTCACCAAAGTGTTAGGGCTAAAATAGCATTAGAACATGATGGCATTTTTGAATGGGATGTTATTATTGAAAAAGTTTGTACATATGCTTGGGTTGGAGTATGTGCATCAGAAAATTTAAATTACGAGATCTTTGCAGGAGATCAAGCTACTGGATGGGTGATAGGTTCAAGTGGTGAATGTGCTAATTCTGCTAAGAGGTCGTCAAATTATTGTCCCTCATTTGCAGATGGCACGAAAATCACAGTTCATTTAGATATGAATAAAAGAACTTGTGCTTTTACAGTCAATGGTACGAAGTATCGTGAGATATCAGAATGGAAATTACCATCAAAACTTTCCCCAGTAGTATCATTAAGTCACCCAGGACGTTTTCGAATTCAACCTCGTTAAATATTTAGTGCAAATATTATAACCTAAATATTTTATCATGTGTATAATAATTAAATTGAAATAAAATTTGATTTTTAGCATCAAACTTATTAATTTACTACATGCATAAAGAGAACGATATCGAATTTCATGGAAATATATCAATTTAAGCATTTAACCTACGTTACGACCATCATAATCACGTCATTCTACCGGTTTTAAAAGATATTATCCTCTGCATTTTATAAGAATTTTGTTATGAGCGAAGGTATAATCTAGTAGTCAATAATATGAAATAGTATTCCAGATAATTTAAACAGATACTTTTTATTATCGGACTGTAATAATCATGAAATGCGCCTAAATTTCCGGGTACGAAGTTACAAAACAAGTCTTATAAAACGATTGCTAACCTTAGAACAAATTGAATTTAATCAAAGGAAGACTTTAATCAAATTAAGGCTCAAATGTTTACTAATATTGAAATAATTCCATCCGAAATAATTGCTTATCGATATAAAACATTATCAAGTACTTCCGATTTAGATGATATCCGATTTTATAGGATTAATAAATCTCATCCTTTTTGGGACTAGTTTACTAGAATTGAACATTAGTTCTTATCAGAGAAACATTATCTAGCAACATTATGTTGTCTAAATACAGTACTATTTCATACGCCTTCGAATGAAAAATTAATGGTAGAAATAAAATCAATATGTATCAGGGTCGTAACATGAAATAGCTTTAAAGAGTGTTAATAATATAAATTAAACTATCAAATATTCGGTTATTATCTTGTCAAAGTTTTTATTGCATAGTAATTTATACGAAAACTACTTTTGCTGATCGTTAAATTATCGATTATATTATTGATCAATTGATGTTATTGATGCTTAAACTGTACTTTACATAATTATACAATTAGATTCAATATAACTAATAATATATTTTATTTTCTTAATATATTTAACAATGAATGAATCACGGATTTTATCCGGGTACAACCTCCGTTAGTCATTGTAGAACTAGTGCCCGTCGTAAAGACGTTTGCCACCACTAGCTACAAAATATTTCTACAATACCTGAGTTTCATAATAAAATATAATAGTTAATAAAATAAAAGATTCAAGAAAGAGAATAAATTCGAAGGATAATTTTTAATAAGCTTCTAACTTCTATATTTAATCCTAAAACCAATTAAAATAATAATTCCCTTCTTTAGAATCATTTCAAGGGTAATTTCATAATCAAGTTCCCGATCCCAAAATAATAAACTAAATAGACAAATAGTTAACGTCATTACGGACGCAGTACATTTAAAACACTTCAAATTTTTATACACTTAAACTAAATATAATACTGCGCCCCAAAATTAATAATTTCACTAGGTAATTTTGGCTTCTACATCATCCGCAAAGATCACGGATTAAATCGGGTTTGTAAAAAAAATTTTGTCGGATAACCGGATTTGAAAATTCTTAACGGAGACGGATTTGTTATCCGGATACAAACACTAAATAAAATACTGAAAGTTTACGAAATCATAAACGTAAACACGAAAATATACAATACAATTTTTTTTTTTGTTAACTCCCTTCATCAGTGGCAAGGAGTCGTCGCGCAACTCGATCACTCCTACACAAACACGCGCAAAGCACCGTATTTCATAGCATGCTGTCAGTAAAGTAATCTATCCTAAGTACAAAGTAAGAAACAAAAAAAGAAAGAAGAAAAAGAAATACTAAAATAATAAATTCAAAAATAAACCAAACTAGTAACGTCATAAAACTAAGTCAACACTACGTGTGTCTACATCTGACGACACTTCATAACTCATCAACAGAACCCTATTTGATTCTCTACGTCTAAACTCATTTCTTCACATGCTCCATAGTTATGTCAATTTTTGTGTTTTTTTCGTTTTTGCGTACGTATAAACATATATCTATTTGTCCACGTAAAGTAGCTTAATCCCAGAAGTCGTTTTCAAGTATTTTTTTTTTTTTTTTTTTTTTTTTTTTTAACGAAGTCAATTTTATTACTTTATTTAGAAATAAGAAAAATCACAAAAAAGGAAAAGATCTACATTATATAACATTTAGTAAAGAACTTGATCGAACTATACTATTATAATATAGTTATTAGGGGCTTAAGATTTTATGTTCAAAAGAACTATCTACCATCCTGCTCACCCAAATAGGTTCACTAAACTATCCGCATATTACTACTATTCGTATGGACTTCGGTAAGTCGTTATCAAGTATATGTCAAGCGTATTAAGTAACGTTTCGTAAAATTTTATATTGCGTAATACAATTTATTTGTGTCACATGAAATATTGTATTACATGCGTGATACAGTATCATAGAGGCGTAAACTTAAGGGCAAAATTATCTTTTTGACCTGTATGACATCCTTTTTTGATCTTCCTGTATGTAATACAGTATATGCGGGTCAAAAAAATAACACGAGGAGGGTCTTTTTTTTTGAAACTTAAGGTGTTACAAATCTCCTTGTATACTGTTACAGTGCAGTAACTGATAAGTATCGCATTTCTAAAATTTTTAAAACTTACTCGGTTTTTTTTTTTAACAAAAAAATGGAAAGGGGACTTTCATTAAAACAAGATTTAAATTTGCTAGTAAATAATCCAAAGTATAGTGACATAGAAATTTTTTGTAAGGATGAAAAAAAATTATACGGTTGTAGAGCAATTTTAGCAGCAAGATCCGAGGTACTTGATGGGTTACTTTATAATGGGATGAAGGAAAGTTATGAAAACAAAATTTCCTTTCCAACGATCAATTCTTCTGGAATGGAAATTATTTTAGAATATATTTATACCGGATTAGTTAAAGAAAATTCTTTAAATATTGATAATATAGTTGATGCTTATAATGCTGCAGATTATTTTCAATTATCAGGTCTTCAAAAATTAATTATTGAAACTCTTAAAACTATTTTAAGTACTTTAAAAAAGAGTCACACAAAATGTTATTCACCAGAATTATTATCTAAATTTGTAAAAACTTTTCCGTTAACAGAAAATAATAATCTCCTTAATTTATTGGTTAAAGAAGTAGCTTCCATATCATTAAATGATATTGAATTTGGTCGTTTATCTATTACAGCTCTTCAATATCTTTTATTCTGTACCTATGAGAAGGAAATACCTTTTACAACACCAGAATATGAGGTTTTTCGATATAGTGTCATTTTAGCAGCAGAACAAGTTTCCGAAAAAGCATACAAAACTCTTATAAAATGTTTACCTACTTTAGAACAGACAGAAAATTTTGACCCAGTAGAAAATAATTATATTACAGATCATCAAAAGGTTGCTGAAGAACTGGAGCCTTTAGTCGAATACATAGATTTCAGGCGAATAAGTAAAGATCAACTTGATATCATTGAGCCGTTGAAAATTATCCCTACTAAAATTATTCAAAATAATTCAAAATCGATTAATTCAGTTTTAAACAATATCAGAGGAATACCAATTTATCGAATTAATGGTTCTGATCTTACTTGGGATGAATCAGCATGTGGATCAGAACTTATTATTGAGGAGAATGGGAAAGTTGTACGTGCTCCAAATGATCTTTATTTACATCAAAGTGTAAGAGCTAAAATAGCATTAGAAAATAAAGGTATTTTTGAATGGGATGTTATTATTGAGAATAATTGTTTATGGTCTTGGGTTGGAGTATGTTCATCAGAAAATTTTGACTATGAAAGATTTGCAGGAACTCAACCTAATGGTTGGGTATTAGGTTCTGAAGGTTATTGTCGTAATTATGATAAATCGATAAAATATTGTCCTTCATTTGGAGATGGAACAAAAATTACTGTTCATTTGGATACAAATAAAAAAACTTGTGCTTTTACAGTCAATGGTATTAGGTATAATGAGGTAACAGAATGGATTTTACCATTAAAGCTTTATCCAGTGGTATCATTATACGCTAATGCCCGCTATAGAATTCAATCTTATCGAAAAAATTAAAAAAAAAATTACCAGCATAAAATAACTATATTTCATAATATATTTAGATATTAATTATATTTTACGTACATACATATCAAATTTCCACTTAACTTACAAGTGATTTATATGTCACACGAATCAACATCGCACACACTGCACACACTTTATGTCGGCTATTATACTTTTTATATATATTATGACAAGTGTATTACAAGTAGATGACAAAGAAGATAACAAAAGATTAGTTTTTAACTAATAAAATATATTTCTGAGAAATATTTGCAAGTTTGCTGATGTTAGCAAAGATACAATCATGTACCACTTTTTTCAATGTATATAAAATTATAAACCTACTGAAACAAATTTTGCAAGTTTGAAACAAAAAAACAATTACACGTTTTACTTGGTACAAAGTACCAACAGGATATATCTAATAGTCAGGAACTTAACGATATTTACCATTTAAATATTTATAAACTTAATAAGTAATCTTAAATCATAGGTTTTATTGTATTGATGTATATAGTACGCTCAAATCGCTCAATATACTGTATGTCACAGTCTTTCACCATCAGTAATTTTTCTTAATATAGTATGATATCTGCAACGTAACATGGTACAAAAATAAGTTTGTAAATAGAATAAATCATTGAACATCGCTCTTAAAAATATTTTTCGGAAATGATGAGAGGATATTCATTAGGACAAGATCTAAAAATTATTAATAAATAATCCTAAATATAGCGATATAGAAATCTTATGCGAAGATGAAAAAAAAATTATACGGTTGTAAAGCAATTTTAGCAGCAAGATCCGATAGATTACTTTATAATGGAATGAAGGAAACTCAAAGCTTAGGGTAGCTTAGGATATCAAATTATTGTATTGCAATTATATATTAGGAACAAATTATTTAAATAAACCTACTTATATTAAGTTATTTAGTTCGATTAATAGAATTGATAATAACTATCAATACTGAATACTTTTTGGGTATAATGCAAAAATTACAAAAAGCTCGACCTTTAATAAATTTTCCGTGATTTAATTCAGAATTATAAATATCTCGGCCGGTTAATAACATTAAAGATCTTAACTGCACTTTCAACCATTAGGAATTGTATTTAGTCAGAGAATTTTCTTTAATTGGCCCTAAATACATATATTATTCTAACATAATTTTCATTTCAGAAGATTTGATCGTTGAAAAAGAAATTTGCTTTTTGTACTAACTCTTTTTCATCCCATTATAAAGTAGTTCTTCGAGATTTTCAGGTACTTCAGATCTTGCTGTTAATATTGCTCTACACCCATATAATTTTAATCTTTACATAAAAATTTATATTATTATACTAGGGAAAATTGTTGATATTGTCAATTGATCTAAGCCATTTTTTGTTCTATTAGCTGGTTTTAGGCTGATTTTAGGCTGATTCGGATAATGGCTTTTTTGTTTAATGGCTTTTATGTTAAATATTTGATTTAATGGCTTTTTATTAAGTACTGTGGCTTTTTGTTATTAGTTAAATGTTTAAATTATGGCTTCTTTATTAAATATTTTGAATGGTGGCTTTTTTTTTTAAAGTATTTAAGTGCTAAGCCTAATAAAAATTAATATAATTTTAATGTTTGTTTTCAACCTTTTGCATTATATTCAGTTTACTAGTAAAAATAGATTATAAATACAGCTAATGAGAGATGCATTAGAAAAAAAAAAAATTTTCTTTTTTATATCATTTCTAAAAATATAAATACAATTTTCTTTTTAATAAATCATTCTATTATTTTTTTTAAGAAAAACTTTTTTAACAATAGTATGTATGTTAATATATTTATATATTAATTCACTTTTATTTAATTTAATAAAGCACTGATAATAGTACTTTGGATAGTATGAGCACTATTTTAGATATTGATGATTTAAATTATTTAAATATTAATTCAAATGAATCAAATACATTAAAAGATATAGAAAACAATACTTCAACTTAATTCATAAAAAAGGAGGCAAAAAAAGAGGATAAAATATACTATGAATACTTTAATATTGTAGATATTCCAAATAATTCTCATAAGGGAGCAATATGTAAATTTTGTTCAGCAACTTGGAAACATGGAAAGCCAAATAAAATGAAATTACATCTAGCTTTAAAATATTCTAAAGTTACATATAATATTAAAATTTGCTTGCAATATCATCAAAGTAAAGATAGCAATAATTCTACAAAGCTTACTGCTAGTGCTAATTATAAAAGGATAGTATATCTGATTTTACAAAAACTAATATAGCTTTAATACATTGCTTTGTATATTGTGGAAATCTGTTTTCTGTCGTAAATTCTACTTTTTATAAAGAGTTTATGCTTTAAATATGAATTTCTAAAGTGAACAATACTTTCAACTACTTATTTGGATTCAAAAACAGCTAATATAACATTAAAAATTGAGGAAGTATTACATTAAGTGAAGAATTCAACTTTGAGTTAGAATTTTTTAATTTTACTATTATATAAAATATTAAACATTTCTTATTGTTAGATGATTCATGAACTTAATATTCAATCATTTAATAAGGGAGGTGTTGTGGAAAATTTTGTTATTGGAATAATTATGATGGAGACAACCCACTATTTGTATGTATCATATAATTATTTTGCATGACTGTTTTATTTATAAATTATTTTAATTTTTATTTAAAGTTAGTGAGCAATCAAGCGATTGTGTACCAGAGATTAAACAAAATATGCATTTATAATTATAACTCTACTATATTTGATTGATGATTTCTTATCTCAACATCATACAGCTGAATTTAATGAAGAACAAATACTTAATTAAAGTTATAGAAAAATAGATAAAGATAAATTATAGCAGTTGTTTCAGGATTCGGAAGTAGCTATACAATCAGCTAAAAGAAAAGTAATGAGTAAATATCCACATAATGATAGTCAGATGCATAGAAAATCATATTAATTCAGTAACTAAAGATATAATTTCAATTGAATAGGCAAAAAAAAAAGACTACAAAAATATCAGAAATTTCACTTTTTTATGATTGGACATAGAGCTGGAAATGCATTATATAAGGAAATTAAAATTTTTTTTTCAATTCAGTCAAAACACATTGGAATACAGCATGGGATGTTTGTGAATAAATTTTACACAGAAAATAAATATTAAATTAATGATGAAGAGTTTTCTAAATCTTCATTATTTATTGTACTTATAGGTGTTGCTTCTGACAATTCAGAAATTAGTGATAATAAAATTACTCTTCCTTTAAATGCTAGAGAATACATTGATAACCAAAATAATAACTCGCTCTCATTTAAATTATACCATTTCCCAGAAGATGCACACATACTTCCAGTTCAGCTAAAATTTTACATGGTTCTTCTCTATACATAACAGGCTATTTGTCAATAATAGAAGACCTACTTCTTGTAAGAATCACACAAATAAATTTTATTGAGACACACTCATCATCACATAAATCCTCAAGTTTATTCCTAGGAAAAAAAACAAACAAGTGACACTTTTATGCAATCATCAACCTCAGCTGCTGCAGAGATAGCCAAATCATTCTCAACAAAATCTAAGAAGAGAGAGAAAACTCAGGTATCAGTTTTGTCCCATCCACAAAAAATTCCAAAACTTTCTTCTTTATCATTACCTCATGCAAACTAATATTGATTCACAAGATGAAATCTTTTTACAACCAAATGTAAACAATGACTTATCAAATGAAATTCAGGCTGATAATACAATTATACAAGATGACAATCATACAACTGTTCAAGATAACAAACATCAAGAGCAAAGAGGAAAATCAAGCAAAAAAATGGGAAGAAAAACAGAAAGAAAAACATCAAAATAAAATATTGGATCATTTACTAATAAATATATTTTATATTTTTTTCCTTATTATTCTTTATGTAGCTTAATTAGTTCAATTAGTACATTATATTAAATACTAATAATATTTACCAAAACAATAAAAACAATAAATATAAACTTATTATTTAATAAATAATTATATAACCATAAGAAAATCAACAATTATTCAAATATCTATAAATACAGGTAAAATCTATTCTTTCCAAGTCAATTTTTTTTTCTTTCAAATCATAAACAATTTATTCAAATAAAAGTATCATCACATGTATTCCAAATTTTAGAAATAAAACCTTTACAATAGCCTAAATCTACAATTGATTTATTAACTAATAATATCCATAACCAATCCAACTAACTAAACAACTCTTATTCACAAATAACAATCACCACAAATATTATCTCCTTAAATTTTATCAGAAAAATTTAAATTTATTTACATAATAAACAAAATACTCATATAAAATAATAAAACCTAATAACATAAATCTCAGCCAGTCTGGTGGTGACAAAGTCACCGTTCATCAACCTAATCTAGTTTTAAACAAAAATGCATTGCTATTTTTAATAAAAGGTGAAAAGAACTGAATTTGATATTAATATTTATTTAAATCAATACATCAATATCATTTATCGGTTTTTTTATAGTAATGAATTTTAGCATTAAAAATTAATAAATATTGGAAAACTGTATACCTTTAATAGACTTTTTGTTATTCTATGGAAACATTTTATTTGAAGATGAGGAGTTATATGTTGGCATTTTTTCTTTATCCAGAATATAAAATTAAGAATGTTATTATTAATATCATTGCTATTTAATAATTTTTAATTTTACATATTTAATATATTCATATTATAAATTTCTAGTATTTTGCTTTCAACAAGATATTTTTAAAATACCATTGCTAAAGAGACAATTATATTTGAAAAAACCAGGGTGGTGGAATAAATAGTTCCAATTCTTATTTACACAGCTTGGCTTAGTTAGTATATCAAAGTAGAAATAAGCCTTTTGATAATCCACAGTGAGTACGTTTTGGAATGATCTGTGCAACTTTTATTTGATAAATGTTGGTCAAGTTCTGCAATATCCAAGTTCTGCGATAAAGATTCTCAAATGACAAATAATATGTAAAAGGTACTAGTATCCCTATAAATTGGTGGATATTAGTAGAATTAAAAAAAGGAGAAGATCCTATTAAAAAAATATGCATAGAATTATAACTCACAATGCAGATTGTGAAAGAAACATTCTGAACACAAATTATCTGAGCTTACATTAAGGTCCTATACCTGCTTTATTTATATAATTGTAAATTCATTATGTGTAATAATTTATTGTTTTGTAACAAGGTATATCCGATATATTATTTGTGTGTGAATTATGATAATTAAAAAAATTCTTATCTACATTAACCAAGATTATATTGGCCATCAGTCATCAAAATTGGCACCAGAATAATATACATGTGATTCAGATAATTAGACTGATTGATTCTTTTCATTTTTTGGCATAATCAATGTTTGTTTGTTTATAATTATAAATTATTGTTTATAACTTATTATTTATTATCGGTATCTGCCGACTGGGTAGGAGGTCAATTTTATTATTATCATGTTTTTATAGTTCACGAAATTCTAATATAATAATAAAGAGTGACTCGGGCACATTAAAAAAATCACTGTATATTAATTTATAATTTATTGACATATTCTATTGTATATACGAAAATTAGATTAATAAAATAGCTTTCTAAAACTACTTTATTTTATTTCTGACAAAAATAACATTATTTTAAGAATAGTCCAAAAAAAAAAATATTTGAATTAATCACTATTTAGAGAATGATTTTAAAAAAAATGTTTTCAAAAATTCATGATACAGTAGATTGAACAGAGGTATGAATTTGCCAAAAAATATACAAGTGGAATATTTAAAAATAGTGATGATTAATTTGAGTTTAAAATGTTCCTTTAACATTCATACTCTAATCTTTTAATTGGTACTTACCTTTTTTTCTTATTCCACAAAATATAATAAAGCTAATCTCGTATACTATTTATTCTATTTATTCTATTTCAATATCATAAAAATTAGCATATAATATTTACATCTTGTGCCTCAGGTGTCGATTAAGCGCCTGATATGCGCCAGATGTAAATTGATACCTGATGCGTGTCACTTGTCATATAACATTAAAGTATAAACAAATATTAAATTATCCAGACTTAATACTATAAAATTTATTATTAAATAAATTTACTTATCACATTAAAAATATGTAATTCTAAAATATCAAAGTATCAGATTGTTCCGATTCAAACTCATGGGAAACACTTCATTCAATATTATTATAAATTATAAATATTTTCAACAATAATTTCAAATAAATCGATTAGGTATAAATTTTCATAGTAATTTCATTAATAAAAAAAAGTGTTTACTAATGAAGACCTTTATTGTGCGATACAGGTGACGCAGGTCAGATGTCAATCAACACCTGATGCATCAACTGACGCAAAGCGACGCCAGAGGCACATATATAGTCCTTTATCTAATTTACTATTGCCAGTAATATGATTAGTTTCTTTTAACAAAATAACTCTATTTGACATGCAGTAAGTATAATAATTATAAGTAAATGTCTACACATAATCAAACTGGTTTCCATTGACATTATCTGAAAGAAAGATCTACAATATTTTTAATTTATAGCTCAGATCCTTTAACTTCGTCGTTATTAATATTAGTTTGAAATACAAAAACATAGTGTAAATTTATAGGATAATTAGTATCTAGTTATTCACATAGCATAAAGCTTAATCTCTATTTTTAAGGATATATAACAACCACAATTATTATATGGATTTCTACGTATTGAAATGTACTATGGTTATTGGAAATTACTTACAGAAGCATATTTTGTATGTTTTTTTATATAATAAAATATTATCATGTATTATATATACAATAAATCATGTCATACATTTATTTCTAAAAAAGCCAATTTTTATAGTTTGATGGTTAATATATAAAAAATTTGCTGTTGAAACATCTGAGAATTTATGTTTATTAATAAAAATGATTAATATAAAACTTTACAAATTCTTTTAATAAACTAATTTATTTGATAGGATCATTAGATAGTGGAAAATATAGTATTTGTTAAGAAATGAATCTTCGTAAATTTCACCTTTATAAAATATTCCGATTCTAATCATACCCAAGAAATGTTAAACTTCTTTATATTTAATAGTTAGTATAATAAACACATTCTAGTTTGATTACCTAAAATAATCAATTGTACGAACTAAGTTAATTTTAAGTATAAAATTTTCGATGAACAGAAAATTTAACAACACAATCACAGTCAATAAAGTTCTTCATATGAATTATCAGCCTTAAAATGTTTGCCTATTTTGTAAAAAAGAAAAAGAAGAAAAAACAATAATTTAACAATTAACAAAATATTCTACAAACTGAATATTATTTATTTATATGCAAATAAAAAAAATTTACTCACTATTTTTTTGAGTTTCAATCTTTAATTCTTCAAAATTACGTTTTCTTGAAGAGTCTTTAGTTACACTTAATGGTCTACTGATATAAATTCCGTTTTGATTCTGAGAGTTAAATGTGTCTTGAGCAGCTGAATTTATATTTCGTGCAGATGAACTAAATAAATGAATGTATAATAGTAGAGTATTTAACTTTTTTTGTAAAATATAATATTCATAATTTACGGTAATTACCTTTGAATATTATTTATATCAATATCAAGATCAATTTCCTTTGTAATATATTCTATAAATTAATAAAAGATATTATTATATATAAACTTGAAGTATTTAAGTTTTTTTTTAAATTAATAGTTAATTATTTTTACAGTGTATTGTAATATACCTTGTTTCGCGTTAAATGAATTAAATGAAATAATTGAAGATAATTTTGTAGAAGATCGAGAAATTAAAGAACTTAATGCTCTACTTGTATAAATCGCTTTTGAATGATATTTTTCATAAAAGTCAGGTCCAAGTTTCTTTAATTGTATTAATTCTAATCTTTTTCTTTCGGCTTGCTCAAATGTACTATGAAATGTACCATGAACCCATTTTCTAGCTGTACAAATGATTTCATCAATAGTTGGTCTTTTCTTCGAAGGATCAGAATTCCAACATTTTTTCATTAAATTAGCATAACATACAGGGGTATCATCTGTAATTTCAGGCCGCCTTCCATCAATAATTTCATACATAAGGTGAATATCATGTTCAATATTGGAATAAGGTTTACAACCTGTTGTAAGTTCCCACATAATCATACCCAAACTATATATATCGGATTCTTTTGAAAATGCAGCTCCTTTGAATATTTCTGGCGCAATATAAGGTATTACTCCATATACTTCATTATTTGAAAGATTATCATTTACAAGCTGTGATAATCCTAAGTCTCCAATTTTCCAATTTTGTATAACTTTACCTTCTTCATCTTCCAATTGATAAGATAATAAAATATTTCCACTATGAAAATCTCTATGTATAATATTATTGTCATGAATATGTTGAAGTCTAAAATAAAAAAAATTTTTTTTTTAATGAACTTAAAACATTTAATAAACTAATGCATCAAAAATATATATACCCATTTATAATTTCCCATAAAATATTTATTTTTTTTTTCCATGTAATATTTATAAAATTCTTTTGCAAATAATCATGTAAATTTCCACCATTTGCATAATCCATTACTAACATGTACTCTTTCGTTATAGGATCTTGTGTAATACCATAACAGGTAATAATTACCCTTTCTATAATTTTATTATTACATTGATTACATTGATAAAGTAATTTTAACTAAAGTATAAATAAAAAAAAAGATAAGTACATTTCAACATAATACAATATATTAGCGCTAAATAATATTACCTCATTTAGAAAATCTTTACTGATATTTCGTGAATCATGTAATTTTTTTATAGCAACATCAGTATTGTATACGCCATTGGACCAAGTTGCTTTATAAATAATACTAAATCCTCCTTCTGCTATTTTCTTTAAATATTTGATTTGAGAATGTGGAATCAACTTTATTTCTTGTTTAAATGATATTATATATAGAAAGTTCATAATAAACGTATGTATACTTAATGGATTTACACTTACATTACCAAATACGCTATTATAAATAGCAATCTCATAGAATTTATCATAGTTCAATTTTGTGGAAATAATAAAATCATCTATAATATAATTTCTACTGCCAAAAATTGTAATATCAATATATAATATCCTATTGCATTTCTTACATTGTGTTTGATCTATAATTCCGAAAATAACATTTGTTGTTAAACAATATCTACATCCAGTATAAATCATATAGCAATGAGAACACCATTTTCGACAATCAGATTGTATCTTTGTGATATTTGTTGGATTCTCGTTTATATATTCTAGTTCTTGATGACAAATTATACATTCATCATAATTAGCCCACCATGATAAATAGAGAATTGGAATGGACTTTTTAGTTAAAATTGATTTTACTATCCCAAAAGAAAGATTATAATTTAGATAGTCATAAAATTCGAAGCCTGTTATAATCAAATTTGGATTTAGATTGTTGAATGATGAAATATTTGGGGTTACTTGTCTAAAGCATAAAATCTCAGAGCAAAGTTTACACCATTCTTGAATGTTCGTACTACTCCTATCTATATCATGTTCAATACATTGAGTATATTTTATACGTACATCCAAGTATGTATTATTGCCAGTTGCATTTTCTGAATTTTTAATATACAAAAATAAACAATTTTTGCAATATTTTTGTTTAAAATTAATTGTCTCGGAATATTCATTTCCACAATAATTACATTTTTTTTCACCATTCTTAAAAGGAATAAACAAAACGGGCATAGGACTAGATTTTAGTCTTGGCGTAGTATAAAATGAATTATTTTTTGTGTTCATAACGTTGTATTCAAGTAAGTATTTTATAAAATTAACTGTGAAAATTATTTAATGGAGTATTTAATAAAATTGACCGTGAAAATTATTTAATGGAGTATTTATATTTTATTATGAAAATAGAAAAAAAACGGAATTCTATTGAACTTTTCTTTAAAGAAGTTAAAAATTCTATGTCGAAAATAGTTGTTTCCATACTATGCATATTGACAATCCATAATTACGGATGGAATGAATTTTTAGAAAATTGTATTATTTGGTAAAATTAATTTCACGTGAAAAACAATTTTTGTGATTTACGATTTTAAATCTCAATAATCTTATAAAATCACATGAACTGTGAAAAAACTATTATTTTAATGTTTCACTGGCCCTATAAAACTTTGACCTAAAGTTCAATGAAAATGATTTTTCGTATTTATTTTATCAGAAAATTTAGTGAATAATTTATCATTAAAAAAAAAATTCATTTCAATTTTTTGTTACCAAAAAAAGCACATTAATGCCAAATTAGGAATCAAAGAAAAATGACACCATCACGTGATTTAATAACTTTGATCAAAGAGGTTTCTTTTTATTATTACTTTCTTTCCATCGTTGACACAAATAATATATAATATTTCCTCACATAATTTACAGTTCATCGTAATTCTTTACGTAATTTATTTTTTATATCTTTATCTAATATATAATTAACTTTTCATAATAAAAAAATTGATTTTTTTTTTTTATGCAGGAGTATTGTTTTTTTTAAAAAACAACTCTCATGTTTCCAAATTAAATAACCCATGTATTTTAATAACACAAAAATTTAAATACATCCTTATTTGTTGAAGTAATAACAAATTTTTTTTTTACAATTATTAAAAAATATTTCTAAATTGTTGTTATATTTACGATATAATTTTTTTTGTATTCACCCACAACGCTAATTATATCCTTAGTAATGGATACAAGGAACTTATCATTTTGTGTAAACATTAAATAACAAATAATTATACCATTTAAAGTATACCGAGTTACAAACATAATGATATGGACCTTTTAATTTATTACCAAGAACTTACAGATTTATAGTTAACAAATTTCCACCATCATTCCTTTCAATTATTTCGCCAAATTTTTGAATATACTGTGTATATATATTTACGGTAAATATCAAATTATAACTATCACTGTCTTCAATTATAAGAGCCTTAAATGCTAAAATTTTGCCAGATTCATAAAATGTAACAATAATAATTGGTAAAATGTCCGTTCAACTTGACGTTACCTTAATTATTCACTCGTTTCTAATTATTCAAATAATTCACGAACTGTTTGGTCCTAAAAAGAGCATAATATTCTAGCCAATGATTATATTATTTGAGCTCAATTCGAGTGTACTGTAAAATGTTTGTTAATAAATATTGTAAAAAATGTGAATAATTTTTTAGTCTTTTCTAATGGTTTTTATGACAATATTCTTTATTAATGACATCCAACTAAAATAACACATATTTTAGCACTCAAGTATGTAATTTATTGTAAAAAATTATGTAGGTATCCAATCAAACGACTATGGCCTATGTGGAATAAAAAGTAAAATAAGAAAATAGTAATCTACATATTTATGAAATATAGAGTCTCTGTAGGAGTTTTTATTACTGCACACGATTACGTATTTTTTTAAGCGCCGAACATGATGTATTTTTTCATACTATTATACTATTATAACGTAAAAACTCTATAGCTAGAAAAATAAATATTATGCATATGATGTGATCCATATAATAATGAGTCATCTCAACTCAATTATTGATCTATTATGATAAATTATCATAAAAACTACAAATCGTCTTCCCTTTTTCTCTCACTCTTCTTTTCCTTCTTTTGCTTTTCGTTCTTTCCTCTCTCATCTCTTTTCACTCTTATCATCTTAAACTTTCACACTCTTCCTTCTCACACTTGTCATATTCTCATCCTTCCTCTTGTTCATATTCATTTTATTATATTTTTCTTTTTGTTACTACATATACTTAACGTTAAACGTCTAGAGATATATTGTAGTAGTCTTTTGGGTGTTTTTATGGAGCAGCATGATGCTATGCATGGGTGGGAGCATAGCATGCTTACTTTGTAAGCCTGTGAGTACCAGCTTTTGCTGCAGTCTCACGGTAGGGCTGGCTGGGATTTTTGGGGCGGTATAGTACTATGCGAAGGTTGGAGCATAGGCGCTTACTTTTAGTAAGCTCGTGGGTACCAGATTTTGCTGTAGTCCTGCGATAGGACCGGTCGGTTGTGGTACGGCATGGTGCTATGCGTAATTTTTATGGGAGGAGCATAGTGCACTTCTTAGGAAGTCCCTTGTGGTAGGGCCGTAGTACTTAATCATACAAAATTTTTAATAACACCTTTTTGCAATAAAAAACAAAGCTATTGACACAAGCTAGTGCTAAAATATATTTGGAGATAAAAATATTTTTTGAGTTAGATTTTATTTTAAGAAATTTTATTGTAAAGCACATACTCAAAAAGGTAATAAATAAATTATTATGATGATGACAATTACAGAAATTAATTTAAAACTTATATCCCATTGTACAATAAGATAGTTTCCTTTTATATATAACATTGTATTCATTATTTTATGTAATATTTGAAATGTAATATTGGATTTTTGCTTGTATATATTATATTATATTTATAAATAAATTAATTTAATTTTTCTCAAATTCTTTTCCTTACAATCTACCTTTCTTTTGCATTATAACCAGTAAACAAAAAAACAAATATGATTTCACAAAAAGAATAAAAATATTAAACAGACGAAATTTTACAAACCCAGTTTTTTTTCAGTATCATTGAAGCATGGATGTATGGTTTTGAAGTTGTTAATTTTATTATATCTTAAATTCATCAACACTAATTGAAATAGTTTTTTCAAGTTTAAACATGAATTTACTCATTACAGCAATCTACAGATTTTTTTCACTAAATTTATTTATCAAAATTTTGATATGTTCACTATCTCTTTAACTTCCTTTATTCCCTCATTTTTTTTTTCTTTTCTTGACAAAATTATTGCAGACATTTGTGAATTTTTAAATTTCAAAAAAAGTCCATAAATACCATATGTTAGAAATTATTGTAAATTTGTATAAAACCATAAAAATCATTTATATGATTAGATATATTAATTATGTCCTATGAATATTACTAAAAATAAAAAGTAAGCATAATTGATAAAATAGAATACATATAAAATTAACTACAATTTTTACTATATAATATGCACCAGTATTAGCAAACGATTTGAAATGACAAACAATTTAAATAATTCATTTGAACTCAAATGACTGATCATTAAAAACATTTGGTTAAAAAAAATAAAATAAAAAAAATGAAAATTTTAGTAGTAAAAACAATTTTACTTATCTAACAAAAGCCAGTATAGTTTAATAAAGTGCTAAATTATTCTGTAAAATATATACGCGCACAGTAAATTGAAACAACAATAATTTCATGAATATTTACTCAACAATCATAAATATTAATATCTGGATATTTCCATGTATTTGTATGAAAATTTAAAAATATTACAAATTATGAAATAGTGATGAGTATAGTTTTAGAGAAATATCTGAGTAGTTTCATACCTGCTGAACAACTTTGCTTATTTAACAATAGCCATATTATTTTGGTTAAAATAATAAAATAATACTGAGAGATTTCTATACAAAAAACGCATAAATATTCTCAACTTTTCAAATAATACTCTATATTTAATCCAGTGTTTAAGAATAAATCTTTTTAAACTTTAAGAATATTTTAAAAAATAACTGAAAAGAGAAAAGAAAAAAATGTGTACTGCGTACAACGTGTTAACGATAAACAAATAAATCAGGTTGTCGTGCGTGTGGGGGGGGGAATAAGATATTATCGTAAATCCCTGGAACAGGTTAAGATTCACCGTAAAAATTAGCACATCAAGTGATTTATGTTCACATGATTTATAATACCATGATAAAAAAAAAGCGTTATTTATACTTCCTTGTTTTTACAAGTAATATTATTAATGCAAGTATGTCTTCAAACAGTGATTCCAATAAACAATTACTATTCTTAATTAATTGTTTCAATAATAAAATCTTGAAGGATTGAAGTGTGAAAAAACTTGTTAAAGATTCTCTGCCCGATCCAATATAAGCATTTTTAATATGATTTCTGTTCCAGTAGAATTAATCTATATAAGTTTAGTCTAAAGTAGTATTTAAACTAGTATTTAATATCAATCTTCATTTTGACCTCTTAAACAGAATTAGTCTATATATGTAAAATTATGTTTACAAACGAAACTGAATAGGACATTTATAATAACAAATGTTAAACGAAATTATTAAGAATATTGTATAAAAATTTTTTGGAAATCAAGTACTTTATGATGGATCAGCAATTCAGTTCGTGTTTATTTAAATTATTCTTTTCTTACATTTAGTTTTTATAACAATTTTGTCGATTTACAGGTAAATACTAAGTACATTTTGCATTTTTGCATGTATAACTATTTCTTTATCGACTTTTTGATGACCGGTAATAAATTTATTTTCTACTTGATTGAATTCTATTTCGTTTTAAGTTTATCGACCGTTTCATAAGAATTTTATATGCATCATTAGAGGCTTGTTTTACCACTAAAATTGTATTCAAAAAATTACCAATCTTCAATTTCAGACGCACCTTCATAATTGTTTTAATCAGATAATAGAAAGTTTGCTCAAAAGCTCTCGCACCATGCAACTAAAATATGATATTTCATTTAAAATTACGTGATTAACGAAAAACAACCTTCCTGTTTCAACAGGCCTATATTACTGTCTGTTTAGAATGAAGTATTTTATCATTGTGGTAAATTAGTAATTTTGACGTAAAAAAACTAAATAATCTATTTCACGGGTTAGTATCCCAATTAATATACATATTCTTGTTAAATAAATTATTTATTTTCAATAAAAAAGAATACATACTATATATTATACAAAAAATTCATGTTAATAATTTTTATACTAAACATAATTTTTTTGATGAGGTTGAATTCGAAAGCGACCAAGATGACATATTGATACTACTGGATAAAGTTTTGACGGTAAATTATTCCATTCTGATACCTCCCGAAACCTTGTGCCATTGACCGTAAAAGCACAAGTTCTTTTATTCATATCTAAATGAATAGTAACTATTGTTCTATCACCAAACGAAGGACAGTACTCTATTCCTTTACTAGAATTAAAACAATTACCACTAGAACCTAATACCCATCCAGTTGACTGATCTCTTGCACAAGATTCATAATTAAAATTCTCTGATGCACATACTCCAACAAAAGCATAATTACAACCTTTCTCAATAATAACATCCCATTCAAAAATACCCTTATTTTCTAATAACATTTTAGATCTAACACTTTGATATACAATAAGATGATCTGTAGGACGTACAATTTTTCCGTTATCCTCAATAATAAGTTGTGATCCACATGCTGTTTCATCCCAAATATAGTCTATCCCACGAATATCATTAAAATTCATACTATTTAATAACGCTATATTTCGATAAACGCCTAAAATCATTTCAACCGGGATAATTTCTAATGGCTCAATGAAATTAACTAATACCTGACCTTTGATTAGCTTAAAATCAATATATTTAGCTAAAGGTTCCATTTCTTTAGCAACTTTTTGACGATCCGTAATAAATTTATTCTCAGCTTTAATAATTGTATTCTCTATTTGATCTAAAGTCGGCAACCGTTGCATAAGGGATTCATATGCATCATTTGAGACTTGTTTTGCTGCTAGAATTGCACTATATCGAAAAACTTCATACTCCCTGGTTGCAAAGGATATTTTTTTTTCATGAGTAATAGATAAAAGATATTTAAGACCGGCAATAGATAATCGACCAAATTCAATATTATTTAATGGTATAATTGCTACCGCTTCAACCAATAAATTAAGCAAAATGTTATCTTCTGTTGATGGCATTTTTTCTGAAACTTTTGTTAGTAGTTCCGGTGAATATTTTTTTGATAAATTAGTATTCTTAACCGTTTTTGTAATAAAATCCTGAAGGTCGGACAATTGAAAATAATCAGCAGCGTAAAAAGCTTCAACGGTATTATCTTTTGTTAAAGATTCTTCTTTAACTGATCCTGTATAAGTATATTCTAGTATAATTTCCATTCCAGTGGATTTAATCTTTGGAAAAGAAATTTGGTTTTCATAAGTTTCCTTCATTCCATTATAAAGTAATCTATCGAATACTTCGGATCTTGCTGCTAAAATTGCTCTACAACCGTATAATTTTTTTTCATCTTCGCATAAGATTTCTATATCACTATATTTTGGATTATTTATTAATAATCTTAAATCTTGTTCTAATGAATATCCTCTCGTCATTTTTTATTATTTTTTTTTTTTTTTTTTTTTTTTTTTTATAGGAAAACTTTTTAAGAAAAATTTTTTTTTAAAAAAAATAAAGAATCCTAATTTTTGGATTTTTGGATTTAAAGGTGCGCTATTACTATGTATGTAGGGTATGGCTAAACATCACATATAAAAGTATCACGTGACCATACGTGTTACAGAATAGAACGGTCTAGGCCTTTCCTTATTTGGTAATAAACAATAAATGTAGATCTGTATGGAACGCGTGTGAAATTTTGCATACCCTACATACATAGGTATCCATACACTACATGTTATCGTAACACCCGCTATTATTTAGGTTTGTACTAATTAAAGCTTTATGAAAAAAAGAAAATGTTTGGGCGTACAGCAAGTATATCATTTATAATGCATGATTTTCTAGTACTGATATGTTTATAAAGATTTCATTATCACTTAGTAGTACATTGTGGCGGATTTATGAAATTTGGTAAAACCCCTGCTGTGCCCTCGGGAATTAAATAGTACAGTATCAATAAGCTTTTTCCCTAAAGAATGTCAAATAACGACGCGCCTTTAACACTGGAAAAATTGGTTAGATCGGTGGGAAAATTGGTTAGACGCAAGATTTGGGGTACAAAGAAATTTTTTGGGGCACATTTTTGACTGTTCTCTAATAAATTTGGAAATTTGGTGACTAAAATACTGTCAAATATTCATTTAATTTGACATGACGGACAAACTTAGGGTTTTCATAAATCCACCATACATGATGATAAAAAAAGCTACATAAAAATGAAAGAATTTTGCCGTCATCTTTACTAAGATGCCCTCCCAAATATAATCAGATCTGAAGTTTATTTACTTAAAATTCTATTTTGGCATTTTGGTTGAGTTACTTATTTGGTCTAAGACGAACTGTTCCATAAGAGTTTTATATGTTTCATATTCTGGACATTCAACATTATCATTCTTATTGGTTTAAGCAATACAGTAGCGATTATCCAATTAAATAAAGTATCTTTTGTTGAAGAATTTCTTTATTTGGTTCCGTATAAACGTACTATAACAAGTGTACCGTAACTGGAAATTACTTTCCACATAAAGTTTCCATACTGCTACACTTTGATTTACATATTGTCTCTAATGCTACAATATTTTTTGAAGTACATGAAGCAATTTATGTAAGTATACTATGTAATATTTTAATATCGTTACTTTATATCGATGATAAGAGAATATTTTTAAAATTAAAAGTTCTTACCAATAAATGATATAATGGATTGTTAAAAAATCTATATGCACTACAATCATGTAATTCCTTTTTACCTACGCAAAAAATTTCACTGACACTTTATTAAATGTTTGGATTAATAATCTTAAATTTTGTTCCACTTGTCATTTTTTTAATTTTTTATTTTTCGAGAATAAAAATACTTTTATCAATGATTCCATTTTTACTGTATATTCCATACTGTATAGCACCAAGTTGTATTAGAAAAGGATAATAATTTTTTCTGCGCCTTCAACCATATTTATATTGATTCTTTTTTTTTAATAATAAATTTATGTTACGACTTCTTATGCATGATTTAATAGCTATACTTGCTCACAATCTTTGAATATTTATATTACATAGTAAATGAGACTTAAAAATTTATTTTCTTATTATAACAACTATTTTTCAATATTTGATATGTGGTACATTTTCGAATCATACAATTTTTACTAAGCATTCTGGCTAGTCTAGTCTAATTTTCTTTATGTGATTGAATTCGAAAGCGATCAAGATGATATATTGATACTACTGGATAAAGTTTTGATGGCAAATTATTCCATTCTGATACCTCCCGATACTTTGTGCCATTGACTGTAAAAGCACAAGTTCTTTTATTCATATCTAAATGAACAGTAACTTTTGTGCTATCACCAAATGGCGGACAATAATATACTGTCTTACCAAAATTACGACAATAACCACCGGAACCTAATACCCATCCGGTAGGTTGGCTTCCTGCATAAACTTCAGAATTAAAATTTTCTGATGCACATACTCCTACCCAGGCATAATTATAACCTTTCTCAATAACAACATCCCATTTAAAAATACCTTTATTTTCTAATAACATTTTAGCTCTAACACTTTGATATGAGTTAAGATTATTTGGTGCACGAACAACTTTTCCATTATCCTCAATAATAAGTCGTGATCCACATGCTGTTTCATCCCAAACATAGTCGATTTCATTAATTATATGTGGTTTCCCACGGATATCATTAAAATTTAAACTATTTAATGACACTACATTTCGATAAATACCTAAAATTATTTCAGCTGGAATGATTTCTAGTGGTTCAATGAAATTAACTAATATCTGGCCTTTGATTCGCTTAAAATCAATATACTTAACCAAAGGTTCCATTTCTTTAGCAACTTTTTGACGATATGTAATAAATTTATTTTCTACTTTAATTGTATTCTCTACTTGATCTAAAACTGGCAACCGTTCCATAATGGATTCATATGCATCATTTGAGACTTGTTTTGCTGCTAGAATTGCACTATATCGAAAAACTTCATACTCCCTGGTTGCAAATGGTATTTCTTTTTCATGAGTAATAGATAAAAGATATTTAAGACCGGCAATAGATAATCGACCAAATTCGATATTATTTAATGGTATAATTGCTACTGCTTCAACCAATAAATTAAGCAAAATGTTATCTTCTGTTAATGGCATTTTTTCTGAAACTTTTGATAATAATTCTGGTGAATAATTTTTTGATAAATTAGTATTCTTAAACGTTTTTGTAATAAAATCCTGAAGGTCGGTTAATTGAAAATAATTTGCAGCGTAAAAAGCTTCAACTGTATTATCTTTTGTTAAAGATTCTCCTTTAACTGACCCTGTATAAATATATTCTAATATAATTTCCATTCCAGCAGAATTAATTTTTGGAAAAGAAATTTGGTTTTCATAAGTTTCCTTCATCCCATTATAAAGTAGTCTATCAAATACTTCGGACCTTGCTGCTAAAATTGCTCTACAGCAATGTAATTTCTTTCCATCTTCGCATAAGATTTCTATATCACTATATTTTGGATTATTTATTAGTAATCTTAAATCTTGTTCCAATGAATACCCTCTCGTCATTTTTCAGAAAAAATTTTTTTTCTAAAAAATAAAAAAAAACCTATTTTTGGCTTTAAAAATGCGCTATTTATATTTGTATCATGTCGCACTATTAAGTTTTGTGAAAAAAGGAAATGTTTGGACGTTGTAATGCCGTAGTATACATAGTAAATTTATTAATTGTGAGGCGCAGTATTACATTTAATCTTAGTGTATAGAAATTTTAATTTATTTTTAGTTGTATTAATAATTAGACCGAAAAGTCGTTAAACTATTAGTCATGAGAATCAGGATAATTAGACCGAAAAGTCGTTAAACTATTGAGCAGGTGATTCAAGGATAATTGGTCCGAGATGACATTAAACTATTAGTCACGAGATTTAAGGATAAATAAAGGTCCGAAAGATGCTAAATTAAATGAAGTCAAGTGATCTGAGGTGTCAAATGACTAAATTGCTGATCATGACGTTAGTATTATAAATCATAATTCAGGAGTTAATGACGATCAGATGGATACAGAGTTAAGATAATGGAAATACTTTAAAATCATGGAAATACTTTGATAATTTAAATCCATGAATCAAAATTATGAATTTGGTTACACAAAAACAATTATAAAAGGGCGTGAAGATCACCTTTGGAGAAGGACATTCTTGAACAAATATCGATGATGAATTATTTATTTGTTATTTAATGTTATTAAACCAAGCATATTATTGTATTTATTTATATTATTAATAAAGAGATATTTTGTTAATACCTAAGGTGGCAACGTGATTTATCACGGGCTTAGGTCTTACAAGTGGTGCATGCTCCGAGAAAGGAAAAGTGATCATCCTCATATGATCACTACAGGTTATTAGTACAGGATCTCCGAGAAAAGAAAGTGATCATCTCCACGTGATCATTAGAAGTTACAAATAAAGGATCAACAAAGTTAAAGAATTATAAAATTAAAAGTTCTAAGTTTTGGTTAAAAAGAATTTAAGGTATTAATGTCAGATTTTAATAAAATAAAGTCAAATATTCGAAAGAATACGTAAAAATATTGGTTACCAATATAAAAAGTATTAATTTGGGTAAGTATGACCATAAATGTATGAAGAAATAATGTTCAAAAATTATAATTTTTGATCTAACTTGACCACCGGCTGATATGTCAATGAAAAATTATTATTATAATAATTTTCATACATATGAACCAAATATGTATGGTAGTAATTGATTATCAAGGGAAATGCGAGGCTAATCAAGTTAGAAGGGGTTTTGAATAAAAATATTGTAAATAATTGAATGAGAGGATTAAGATTAAGTCTTGTATGTACTTTGATCATACTAAGTGTACCCAGAGCTGACACTATAAATTAAGATGGCGGGGATAATATAAAAGTGTACCCAGAGCCGACACTATAAATTAAGATGGCGGGGTTAATACTGTGTGATTCTGTGTGATTCTGTGTGATTCTGTGTGAACTCAATTGAGGTATTCTGTGTGATCAATTGGGAATAGGTCCAGGAAGGATCTCAAAGGAATTCCGTGCGAGGGTACCCAAGAAAATCATGATTAACGTTAACAAAAATTAAAATAATATTTGCTGGACAAATATACAAAAGTTAAGGATGAATTAAAGGAAATAAAATATAGATATAGGAGGGAGATTTGAATCTCCCACTTATTAAATGAATTGTTGACACCGTAGAAAGATACATCAGTCTTGGAAATACAACAAATAATTGGACAAATTAAATATGGATTCACATTCCAACCGTAGGATGGAAAATTTTATGGAATATAAATTTATTTGTACAAACCTGTAAACTACCATACTCAGTAATGAACAAATGAGGTAAAGGCAAGCCCAGTATAGGTCAAATAAAATATAAAAGAAGGATAAAAAGTAAAAGACGTGAAAATTTTTAGAGAATTTTATTAAAAATGGAATGGTACCATGTTTGGAAC